TCAGAAATTTGCAGGTCATCCAGGTTTTTATGTCCTTAATGTGCTTGTACTTTAGCTAATTAATTTCATCAGGCTTGATCGATGGATATAACTGGGTATCATCTGCATAACAGTGAAAGTTAATGGAGTGATTCCTAATAATGCTACCAAAAGGAAGCATATATAAGGTGAATAGAATAGAACTAGAGTTATATAAAATTCAACCCCCGTACAGTTGTCATGAACTGGGAAATTAGCTATAGAGACCAAAAGAGTTTTTTTGTGCCAAGCTGTAAATATGTTTATTTCTGCTGTAAAGTTGGGCATTTTAATATGGGACTGGCCTTATGGAGATTGACTCACTTTTGGAGCCAGCCTCAATAGGCGGTTGGAGGAACTACAGTTTTCTGTTAGAGATAGCTGCTTGTTAGTGTCATGATGATGCAGAGGTGCTTTGTTTAGAGTAGAGAAAAGGGGAAAGTATCCAATTATTCTGGTATTTTTAGATCCCTTTTTTAAGGATTTTTATGTGGAAATTTACTTATATACTTTTTGTATATATGTCTTAATACATGTCTGGAGTTCATCTAAAAGAACCCTGATGACATAATTGAAATCAGCTGAAAAAAAAAATTATTTCTCAGATATCCAACTGTCTGAGTTTTGGTCCAAATATTTCAGTACGTTAACTGACTGTTGTTGTTACTGTTGTGCAGGGAAGTGGTAATGAAAGGAATTCAATACAAAAACCATTCCTGTCTCCACACACAATCAGTTCCAAGACAACTGTGGGTGTTGGTGTTTCTGCATAGGAAGCACAGGTGGAACAGAAAGTAAAGTCACAATATCAGAGAAGATCAACTTCATTCCATCACCCACAGGACAGAAACTCTCTATGTTTGGGTACTGGTGTCAGTGTTGGTTTTGATAGGATCGACTGGCTTTTGATGTTCTAATTTTGGCATGCTGCTTATGAACATGAGAAGCATTGTCATTGTTAGTTTCCTGGTTTACATATAGTCTCAGAGTACATACCTGAAGTAGTGGAGCTGAACTTTAAAAAGGTGTAGGCGGCAAGTGAAACCTAGTGATCAGGATAAGTGATAAGAATTCCATGTTAATCTATGGTGATGTATACACTGATGTCACTGGTTGTACTGCATTAGTAAAAGTATATTTTGTGGTGGTGGAAACTGGTATGTCCTACTCCAACATGTGACGTAATTATTTCTTTTTAAAACAATCAGAGAGATGGTAGGGATGGGAGAAGTTAACTTACCAGGAAAGCAACAAACAAGCAAGGAAACCTTTATTTATATAACAGGACATTATATTCCAGGGGAGATGCAATATGCTTCAGAGAAAATGCAAAATGTCTTAAATGCAGTTCAAACCATTGATATATAAAAGACAAACTTGCAAAAAATGAAGTCAGCTCAGCTGTTAATCATGATGTGAAATCCCCCTTTTATAGCTTCAAATAACTCATTGAAACCAAACTGATCAGAAAAACACTTGAACATACATTGGCGTGATAAGAACTACCTAAAATGCCAGAAATCTAATTTATTTTACATGTATTTTGATTTTAACATCTCCATCTGTTAACATGGATATATACTGCAGTCAGTCACCAGAGAGTGATTGAGATGTTTTGGCTTCATTTTTGGAGAGCTGTCATGTTGTCCATCTATATGTATGTGGTTTAAACACAAGCACAACAATGAAAATTAATCAAATGCACAGGAGATAATGAATAGTGTTCATGCTGGAACATGTCTAATGCAGTCTGGCAAGTTTTACAGGAAATGGGATCATAAAAACTAAAAGCTGTCTTACCCACGTCAAAATGTCTGGGAGGCTAAGATGAAAAGATTTTAACTTGTTTAATTCATTTCATATGGCCTAATGTGGTGTAACAAGCCAATATGATCAAATTCCCTTCCCATCACAATCAGATGTAACATGGTATAATGTCAGTGGCAAATAAAAGAAGTTAAAGCATGCAGCTTTAAAACGACATGAAAATAAATTTCTTAAATGTAGATAGATGTTGTGTAACTTCCAAAATCCAAGCAAACTGGTTAAACAACATTTCAAATTTATACTGACAAGGTGGGGTTGTAGCTCCTCCCATAATAAAAGATCACACTAGTATATTGAAATTCAGTTTTATTGTCATTTACAATGCAAGGTTGGAGAATGAAATTGAAATATAGTTCCATTTATCCTACTTAAAAAAAAATACTAATTTGTAATTTGTTGATGATTTTTTGAGGAAGAATTTAATCTTGTATTGTGTATAACAATTTGGTATTCTCAGTTCTTCAGATATCTGCTACTTCGTCACGTGCTATCTCAGATCTTTGGATAAAGTACACCAGCTCTTAAAGTAGTGGAGTCATTAGATTACATTAGATAAGTATTCTGAACTATGGGAAAGGAACTGTTTATTACTCCATGATGATTCAGAGCCTTATCAGCTCAAAACATGGGAACAGAATCTGAACCTGACATTAAATAATAGGGGTTGGGACAGGATGTCAAGCGATGTAAGCGGATATGCATCACTTCTCCTGGACTCCCTCAAGACTGTTTATACTTGGGTTAAGAGACACTCCAAACTACTGCCAATGCAAGTCTGAGGAAGGACACTTAGTTCATGTTTATGGTCCTGTGACAAATGTATCAGTTAACCAACAAATAAAAGATAAGAACAAATATCCTCATCTTGATCTTTTCATCTGCAGCAACTTTCACCAAGGCTTTTAAAACTCTAGACTACAACGAATGTATCAACTGATACTGATTTTTCAGTTTTGCCTTTTAAAACACTATATAAAAACAAGCTAATTTCATGCATGTACAACAACCTTTTTTTTTTTTTAAATATATAGGCCTAATTGGAGTGCCTGTCACATCTTTGATGTATGTTATGTTTGATTACTTATTCATGCTTCCTGTTTTATTTTGTTGTAACAGTGCCCTTATCATTTATTGATTATCTATCATGTATTTATTTATTGATGATAGCACATAGCATATCTAAGTACAGGAAGGGAGAAAGTTGACTGAGGTTAAAAAAAGGTGGGATTTAGGAAGGGTTAATTGGGGTGTTGGTCATCTCCACTGAAGCAATATGCAATATTTTAAAAGATACAGTGCTGTCTGGAGCCTTTTTGGGGCCCTAAACAAAAACACAGACATTTATTTCACCATTTTTTTTGTCTTCAACAGTTGTGTTTGAAATGTAACAATGTATAGGGAGAGAGAGAATTGGTCAGTATAAACACACTATAGGACTATGATTGCTATAACCTGTGACAGGACATGGATAGATGTGGTTTAGTTGTCGAAATAACAACTATTAATGTGGTTAAAAGATTAGTCATTATTCTTCTGTTCATCTGTAGGATTTACAGTAACCGAGATAGCCCGTCAAGTATTGCATCACTCCTGATGGGTGATGCAGAGGAAGCGTGGGTTGACCGCAGTTTCATGCTTGACAGAGTGAACAATAAATGCCCATTATTGCTGAAGTGGCCTTAACGTCCGACACAACATGCGCACATCCTGCACTGGGAAAGGTCAAGTATGCCGACAGAGGAAATGTAGTTTTTAAAGATTAAGATTCACCCCTCCCATGAATGTCTTTTGCTCTCTCCCATTCTTCCTTTGCTCCCTCCACCTACCCCCACACAATGACGCATACTTAAAGTCTGTCTCCGTCTGTCTCTGATCTTTGGGCTTGGGGTAGTATCCTGTACGTGCTACTTCCTACCATACTCTGAATCTGGTTTGGGGATATTACATTTCATTATTGTTTCATACAAAATGCATTTAACTATGGAAGTTTCATGACTTGTTTCTCATTTAAAAATCAATTACCACCATAAGGGGCAAATTTACAAAAGGATTGCGCAGCTTTTGCAGCCGCTAAACCTGCACAATTAAGAAACTCGCAAGCACTCGCAAAGAGCGGAATGCGATAACAGCTGTGCTGTCAAGCAAATACTGTCTTGACAGCAGTGATTGTAGCCAGCCGAAGTAATACAGTGTTTTATGTTGGCACAAATGGCACAGACAGTACAATGCCAGTACAACTCCCATAAGGGAGTGAAACTAAAACATAAATCCTACTGTTGTGAGAAACGGTTATGCACTGCAGGGAACAGTTTTCTATGCACACACTTAAAGCACCCCAAATAACAGTCAGATAGAAAACAAATGAGTTTATATATAAATCAGAATAGTTGTGATTACAATAGGTTCTTTTTCAAATCAAACATTTTGTTACGACCCGGCTCGGAAGGGGAAA